CCATTAATTAATTTATGTTATCTGCATTTTTATTTAGAATTAAACGATAAAGTATTTTATATATTTATTATAATTAAAGTTTACGTAAATATATATCTTTAACAACTTTTATTGCCTTGTGATAATTAAATTCGTTATTCAGTTACGTCGATTAACAAGATACTCAATATATCGAGTTTAAATTTTTACATAAAAGTTATCTATAAACACAGACAATAAATTAAAAATTATCATTTTCAAAATGCAACCATGCAAACATAAATGTCAAAAAACAATGGCAGACATTCTTGTGTTATTGTTGTTTGCATAAACTATAAACTTAAGTGTAAACATATTTTTCTCGTATTTGCTATACAGTTCCACTGAATAATATTAATAGTAAAAATGGTAAAACCAGTCAAAGAAACAGGATTTGTTGTAGAAAAAATTATAGATAAACGTATCACAACAGAAGGCAAAGTTGAGTACTACATTAAGTGGCGCGGATATCCAAGGTATGAAAACTAAATATTAAAATATTTTTAGTATAAAGAAATTGTTTATATTTAGTTCAGATAATACTTGGGAGCCTGAGGAAAATTGTGATTGCCCTGCAATAATACAGCGCTTTGAAGAATCGCGTGCAAAGTCTAAAAAGCGAGGTGAAAAAAAGCCGAAAGTTGAAGAAATACAAAAGTCTCGTGGCTACGATCGTGGTCTTGCCATAGAGCAGATTGTCGGCGCAACTGATACAACTGGCGATGTATCATATTTAGTTAAGTGGCAATTTTGTGATGAATTTGATTTAGTGCCAGGGGCGCTTGTACGTCAAAAAAATCCAGAATTTATTATAGATTTTTTTGAACGTCGTTCACCTTTTCAACGTGCGATAAATGAACGCTTATTGGGCTTACCGGCAGATTTACGCATATATAATAACGACTTATCGCCAAACGATATGAAGTTGAACATGGCGGATATTAAGAGACCTATTGATAGCAACGATGCAAATGTGTCATATTCAATCCCTGTACCAGGGGTGGGTGATATTGCAATCGATGTACCAATAATTGATACAAAACCTATTTTGCAGTAATAATTTTTTTTTATTTTTTTATTTTATTAGAATTAATACAGTAAAAAATTGTCATAAATACCTTTAAATTAGTTATAAGAATTAACACTTTTATTTGATTATTATTTTCGTGTTACAATTTTTTAAACTTTGTCTAAAAGTATATGGCCAAACTCTCCTTTTCTAAATATCTGTACAAAATTCTGCGCCGCATATAACATATCAGGCATGGTAATTACTTGGCCGTCGTACCTTTTAATCTTACGTGTTTTTCCTAAGTTTTTTGCATGGTAAAATAAAAGTTCGGCTATATGATCAGTAGCATTTTTCAAACCAAGCACTTCTACATATTCAAATTTATTATGTTTATTAAGCCAGTACAACAAATAGTCTGCTATTTGGTCAATTCCTACAATGTGATCGGGAAAACAGCCTACTAATGCAAGTTTCATGCCCATTTCATCATCCGTGACTCTAGGCTCTAATATGCCGGGTGTATCAATCATATACGTTAATGGAGCTTCACATATTTTTATTTTTTCCAAAACTGATCGCGTAATGCCCGCTTCAGCACCAACAGCTGCTGCACTCTTCTTACCCAAGTTCTTGTTACGTAGAACGTTCAGTAAAGAACTCTTACCCACGTTAGGCACACCAATAACCATGACATTATAATCTTTTTCGTTCCTTCGATTGTAACGATCAGATTCCACTATTAATTCTGTTATCTTTGGCAACAATTCTCTTGTTCCCTGACACTGTTGGTTTTTACAATTTGTAAATATGATATTTTTAATGCCGTTGTTTTTTAATTCATTTTCTACTTTACGCTGGTCACGTCTATCCACAAGATCTTTCTTATTCAGCACTAGAACATGTGGCTTCAAATCTCCTCCTGTTATAGTTTGCTCGAATTCAGGATTACGTCCAGAAAATGGTATGCGCGCATCGTGCACTTCTACTACGCAATCGACCATTTTAAGCCGTTGTTGCATTTGTTTCAAACCCTTTCCCATATGACCGGGAAACCAGTGTACAGCCTGTTTAGAAATCAGCTTATAGGTGCTCCGAAAACTCATAACTAATCCCGTTTTTAATAGTATTATTTTCTCTAGTTTCCAACTGTCGCCGAATCGTTATTGTTTTTGTATTAAAACACATGATTTTGACATTACATGCCTTTGTGGATTGTACGGATGGAAGAAAAGTTGTTTCAATTTTGAATTTTTTTTTAACGAAAAAAAAATAAATTTCAGATACACAAAAAATACTTGTTTTGAATTTATAAAAATGAAATTTAATAAAAGTTTAATTTATTTATGTAAATTTTATGGAATGTCAAACTATGGACTACTGTTTGTCGAATTATTTTGCTCGAACGTAAAATCTTAATTTATATGTTGTTCGGTTCAATAACTTGTAGGCTATTATCCTCCATAACCGTGTATTTCAACAAACTTTTATAATCTGTGAGCAGTTTTTTCCAATAACACTCAATATCTTCCATCCTCAAGTGAATCTTAACAAACTCATAGCCACGCATTGCAATCTGTTGCGCTATGTCATCATTTTCTTGAAAATAATTGAGTAAATTTTCTATTTCCTGCTCATTAGCATAACTTTTTACTGGAACATAGTGTACCCAAGGTTTAAGGGCAAAATAGAAAAACTCATTCCATTCATCGCCAACATGCAGTACCAATGATTTACACAAAAATAAATGTTTTAAACGGAAACTAGCCGCAACTCCACGGAAATTGAATAAATATTTATATTTGCAGTGATGCTTAAAATCAACTTCTTTGGCAGGCTCTGCATTTAAAGTGTCTTTTTTTGTTTTCCAAGCTTGGTTTTTTGTATATTGTGCGTTTAATAAATCTGGATTTTGGCGTGACAGCAATATCAAAGCATCACGCTCATCAGATGTACGAGAGCCACGAAAAAATCCTCGAGATTTTTTTTTGGCCCATGGCGTTTTCTCAGCGGCTTTTGTGATTTCTTCTCGCAGCAAATCCCAGCGTCCGATACCAGTTGGATACAATGAAATAGCTGGACCACCTGCCCAAAAAGACCAAGCAGGATACATTATATCCAAATATTCATTTGTTTTTGAAAATGAAAATACTGGTCCTTTTGTCTTAAACACTTTCTTTACTTGTGGCCAGTCTCGTGTATTTATGATTATGTCCATATCTGGTAATTCATTTACGAGTTTTAATAAAAAATGTTCAACGCCTTTGCAGCGCGTAGGAAACATACAATCCTCTTCGCGGTACAGTGTTTTATTGTAGATCTTGTAATGTGTACCTAACTTCGCGGCATCTGTTATCATTTGCCGTGTTATGCCATTACTCTGGTAAGGTTTCAAATCTCTTTTTATCACTTCTGCGTATAAACCACAAGTTGGTTCGTGTTCCATTGGGATCCATGGTTTGTATTCACTAAGAGCTTTGTGAATTTTTCTATATATTTCGTTTGAATCTAAAATGATTGTATATATCTAGATATGGTATACACATTTATGCAGGCAGACGCATACCTTTTCCATATTTTCTAGCTGAATCAAACAATTGGTTTTCACGTTCTTCGCCACACTCTGATTTATTGTCCGATACACATTGTTCATCGTTCAGAGAATTATCCGCCAGAACTTGTTGATGTAAGAAATTTAAGAAGACAAAGCATATCAAGGGCAATCTCATGTTTTAGTTTTGCAAAAACTTAATTACAACAATTGAGCCGGCAAATATAAACAAATTCTAATCTTTTGCAATGTTGCCACATGTAAGTAAATATTTTGTTGCAAAAAATTAAGTACAACGCTTAAACAATTTATGACATGAAGCGAAATAATGTCCTGCGCAGAGTATCACCTTCACAACTTCTAGTAAAAATGAATATTCTATATAATAGAACATTATATGAATTAAATATTCATATAGTCAATGTCACGAAAATTTTTTATTATTTAACTTAATAAGGTTATATTAAAAAATTAATAGATATTAAATAACGTATAATCAAAATTTGTGGTCGACGTAATATTAATATCAATTATAGATGAAATTAATAGATTACGCCTTTAAGTTAAGGACTCTGCCATCAGTCTTACCGATAAGCTAAAATTCT